AATTAGTAATAATTAAACTTTGCTGACGGCCGAGCTATTTTTCTGGATGTTAAACACCAGAAGGGATTCAACTTTTGGCTTTTGTTTTACATTTATCGTTATGCTTTTTCCAACGATGTTTCGATTAATGTATTACAAAAACGTCTTAATTTTGTAATACATTATCCGTTAGGGCAAATTGGCCGTGAAAGAATTCATTTTGGGTATTTTCAGCCTCAACAACTTTTTTCGACCACCTACACCAATAGCTTATAACTATTTGAATGCACGCGAAAAAGTGGTTTTTCCAACGTCAGCGTTTTGAAAAAAAGTTAGTCAGCAAAACTGTTTGTACCTCTCGAGGGGGGCCTTGTCGTATACCCACAAGAATATAATTCCGCTGTAACACCGCTTATTATATTTTTTTCTGAAATGGGGTTGATTTTTGGCTAGTCAGAGTGGTCTGGAAGCATGAAACTGTGCTTTAAATCAAGGTTATCGCAAGTTGTGTCTCAACAACACATTCAGAGTAATCAAAAAATAAAAAATTCAAATATTTTATAACCATTTCAAATTGTCTTCTTTTTAATGAACTGCCTCTGGAGGCAGGTGTGTTACCCACGCCTTTAAACCTTTATGAATTATGAGTGAAAATTCGTGAAGCTCTCCAGAACGATTACAAAGGGCTTTTCACGGAGGCGCTGATGCCGTGAAAAATACATGAACTCTTCAACAAAAAAAAGGGGGTAGAACGGTGCTGCTGTCCATGGATATATGTATGTGCTCCTTTCGATGTAACATGAAAAGGGTTTTTGGTGCATGTAATGTTATAAGTTGACAAGTTTTCATGTCGTGGATGTAAGGTGGTGCCTTTTATGTGAGATTTTACGATGTTTTGATTGCTTTGGGAAGTTTTAAGACCGTGCCAATAAAATGAGGCCACTAATAATGTTGGTTTTATTGTTCCAAATCAGTACAATGACAACAAAATTTAGATTAGGAATAGAGTCTGGTATCTCATATTCAACTATAAACTGTGTAGTCTTAAAGACATCCACTTCTGAGCCACTTCTTCAGGAGCGTTTGCCGCTTGTAAAAACCTCCTCGGACGTGGGATTTCAGTTAACATGTCTACTGAAGATATTTATTCATAGTTCACTACTAAACCGCCAAGTAATTTTGGCAGTTCGATTCTTGGTCTCCAAGATCGCAAACCGAAGTGATATGCCGTCCATGCCTTGGCAACGAGTGTTGGCTTCTTGTTGCAACGCGTCAAAGCACTCTTACATCGACCTTTTTAGTACTCCTTCCAACCTTAGTAGCTCGTCTGCAGCTTTTTCTCCGGGCATCAGTTTCGACGTTTCTTTTTTTGACTACAGGAATGTCCATCTCGCCACAAATACCTTTTGCAAATTCCATTGCTTTTCAACAAGATCATCTATATCAATCAAAAAGGACTTTGTGCTTTTTATTTTGCTAAGGCTCTTTTCGAAACTGATAACAACAATATGCAGGTACTTTTGGGTGTGATTTGTTTTTTTCTAGGAGATAATTCCATAGACACAAGAAGCACAAAAATGCGAAATCACACACTGCAGGCAATAAAGCTTGAGGTTCTCCCCTAGCGTCACTAGGTTCTGAATGGTTTCTCTCCGGGCTCAGTTTCTATATTTCCTCTCTTGACTACATCTCATCACAAATGCCTTTTGTGTTCCAATTTCATTGCCTTTTCCACAAGGCCATCTCTATTACCAATCAAAATGGACTTTAAACTTCTCATTTTGATGAGGTACTTTTCGAAAGATATTTCAACAATTTGTAGGTACTTTTGGGTGTGGTCGACTTCTTTAAGGACAGTATTCCATAAACACAAAAAGGCCAAATATGCGAAATCATACACTGCAGGCAATAAACTTTGAGCTGCTCCTCTAGTGTTAATAGTTTTTAAAGGCAGCGGCAATCGTCACGACGTATTTTGCTACCTTTCCTAGCAATCAATCATGAGCCATTTTATATCATTTTCTGTCACCCCTTCAGAGCTGGCAACAGGGGCACCCCCTTCCTACCACTGGTTCTTAAACATGAAACAGAAACAGGTTATAGGCGTTTCATTTGATAATGATGCGATTTAGTATTCCAGCGTTCCTTCAGTTTAGATATTTACTATAGTCAGATGGTGGTTCTAGATGACTTCGATTTACTTTGACATGAATGTTTTCTAAAACGCCATTTTTTATGCACGATTCATAAGATTGACGAGAAAAATTTGCAATACGCGAAGCGATGTCTCGTCAGTAAACTAGTGATGCCAGTGCATGGACCATCCAGGCGTCGTAAGCCATCAAAATACTAGTTTTTATTGATCACGTGATCACTGCAATGATGGTCGTGATACAAACAATCGACTGTAGTGTTATTTACAAAACCAAGGTGGTACGATTTAACGGTTTTTACGCTGTTCGCATCATCTACGAGTATTTATACAAGACTCTGCAATTTCCAAAAGACATACTACACAAATGATGTCATATCTTTGGCAAGTTATCTTGATCTTGATTACTGAACCAGAACGACAACCAAACCACTGAACCTCATTCAAATAAATGAAATATCCTCAAAAACATATAATCACTTTTATCGCCATATTGCTGTTCAACATTAAAACCCATAATCCAATATGTTGATGATTCGGTGCTTTTTTCTAAATACCTACGCATCTCGAATTTTGTCCAGGTCACGTCTTACACTGTGTTTTTGGGGCGTTATATTGAATTTCGGATGCTCGAGTTCCTAATTTCGTTTTCAATTTTGTGGGGGAGACAAAAATTATTCCTAACACGTTTAGCTAAGGGAAAAAGATTAGTCGCTGGGTTGCGCCGTTCTAATTTTTGTCTTTCGCGAGATGCCTTCACAAATCCCATTAACTGAACGATTACGTGTAAATACGAGGGTGGATAAAACATAAACCAAGATATTGCAAAGAAAATATTTTCAGAAAATTAATTCCAGTTAACAAACTCCAAGGTATTTATCTCAATGAACTAATCTAACTCAAGAGGCATAATTTATCGGATTTTTCGCGAGCAACGAACATTTCTGCGACTAAATTAAAGGCAAGCAAATAATTACTAAATTCTCTATTTAATACTCGTACTAAACATCTTTACGTCACCTCTTAAGTTTAGCTTGGCACTGTCACTAAGTTAGATGACAAATAACTATTTAATTCTATTACTATTATCGACATATATACAGGTTGACTAAAAAGATAATGGCCTTTCAATGAATTAGCCTACATTTATTTAAATTTGATGAAAGTTTTTCCAAGAGAAACAATTCATGCAAATTTAAATACATCATCTAAAAATGCAGTTGATGATTTAAAAAAGCGAATGAAGTAGAACATATGTTTCCCTCTTTTCTTGTAGCTGTCAAAATATCCTAGTTTCTACATTAATGTTGTAGTCTGAGCAAAATTCTTTTCTGCACACGTTAGGCTGCTGGTAGGTACTAACTAGGTATACCAAATCTAAAATCAACACAATTATTATCCGTTCTCGAAACATGTTTTTTTATCGATTTCATAGATATGATTTCAACACCTTGTATGATGTAAAAAGTTATATTAGGTCCCATGTTCATATGAGCATTTCGTATTATTTCTAGACATATTCTACACCCAGGAAATATTACTGCTGTTTGTCAATCATCCTGTATAAACCATTTTGAATAAACATTGGCAGCCATTTCAACTATTTCAAGGCATTCTATATCACTGAATATAGTGTATATCTAATAACCGCTGTCACGTGCCAAAATCACGTAATCTTTTTTTTTACTATTTTGATCACTTACCAGAAATTTGAATTTTCATTGATTATAGAGTACCGATTCCTAGGCCAAGCCCTTTTTAATGATTTTCTTTTGGTAAATTTCATAGTTTGTTGATTGTATACTTTCACACGCACTTGCGTTTCTTTCTCAGCGATTCGGTATTGTGTTGAAATCTTTTTGACACTAATGTTATAGTATTATTAGCCCAGATTCTGGGATATAGGACTCCCAAACACCAGTTTATGGAGTAGTACCTTTTATTTTGTACCTTACGTTTAGTTGTTTTGGTTAGGGTGCTACCCTGTTCCATTTTCTAATGGGATTTTAACCTTCAGCGGTAAGTTATTTTATGTATACCATTGGGTCCACGTCATTTAATGCATGTCCTGAAGAAGTAGGTTCAATATCTGCGTTCTTTTAGCGGAAGGCATTGCGGAGAACCACAATTCACACTCCTCCAGCCAATTTTGTTGGAAGCGAGGTACCACCCGGCGGATCTGTAAAACCCTGTACCAACACCGCGAACCGAACCTCGCGACGAACCGCAGCGCGCGCATTTTGACGAACAACATTGTAACGAGCATCACCACAAACCGCACGACGTGGTGCAACCAAATGACGATCCAATTTTGATGTTTGTCGTTCAGTGAAAGACGAGTACTATCTGAAATGGATATAGCAGTAGCAGCAGCTGTCTATATTTATATTCACTATGAATTATCCAAAAACATACCCTGTTTTGCATCCCACAACAATTCGGCTGCTCTGTAATGCTCTATAAGCAAAAGAGTTTTCTCCTCCGATCATTCCACCTTTCCTTCACGGGGTCTATCCATTTGCAGAGATGAGCGCGTGCTTGCCGCACCGGTATGCCTGTCCAAACATGTGCAACTTCGTCGCGAGCCATTCGTTTGATGTCGCGCTGAAAAACCGACAGAGCCTGGATTGGGCCGAACGGCGAGCTGTAACGTTAATTACGTTCGCGACGGCGTTCTTTTCACCGTCTACACTAGCGCGGCGCGGTTCGTCGCGTGGTCCGGTTCGCGGTGTTATTACATATCTGTACATGGCTTAATGTGGGGCCACAATGCACACGTGCTCTCTCGCTATACTCAACTATAACAAAAATTGAAATCGAGAACGGCAACCAAAAATAAGATTACTGAAAAGAAAAACTGGTGACTCACCTTTGCAATCCCTTGATGTAATCCGGCCTGGCGGGTTTGTAATTTTTGACTAGCAGGTTGCAATACTTGAGCAGGCCGCCACCACGGATCTCCTCTGGATGGCGGGTAGAGATCAGCTTTTTCTGTAAATGGTAGAGCGCTTCCTGGAAATCACCATAGACGCTCTCACCCACCACAGTCGGGTAGAAGTTCTCGCTGATTGGTAGCTCACTACACCTGGAACAAAACAGAAATAAAGTGAGGTACACCCCTTATGAAATATGGATATAACCATTTAATTTTTAGAGCTCTAAAGAGGGAAATAAATTATCCTAAAACGTCAGCAACTTTGTAGGCTGTGCTTTTTTAGACACTAAATTTAATTGAATACAAGCTAACCATTTTATACTTGTGCAAAAATTTTGTACCACCTATTTTGTCATCACGTTACTTCAGTAATAGCTGCGAATGTTGGAAACAAAATACTTGTTCTATTAGGTCATATTATTTAACCTATCTCATACTTATTGATCGATGACAAAATAGAATATACGGTTTTTATTCTATTATAACTGACAGCAACAAGTATAAGATTTTACCGGATTTTTATGCATGATAGGGATAAAAATGCCCAACCTTAGTCACGATTTTGCTAATCTTTTATTCATAGCCTAACTCGAGCAGCTAGCAGCTCCACAAGACAGGAATGGATTCTACGTTAGGTTTTCCATATATTACAGACATTTTAGCGTTTTTTACCAATTCTTTGTTATTCTATATTTTTAGGAATGTGGTTTTCAAGGTAGGTATTGTATAGCATGATATGTCAAATGTAGAATAGAAGAATTAAATGCTATATGACAAAGGATCAGCATTAAGCGAAAATGTACGGTAAACAGAACATAGAGTAAAATGGGAGGAAATCTCTACTACGTAAAGAGGATTACAAATACAAAATGACAATTGAACAACTTAAAATTCGGAATGATGCCTTCACGCAATATCAGCATATTACGAGTCTTTCAGACTAGTAGCACACGGTATATGAATGTGATAATAAAAAGAAAAAATAAACGAACTGTCACCTAGAAGACAGATAAATAAAATCTATTGCCATTGAACCGAAGAAAATTACCTTTGTGATTGAAACGTTTACAGTGAAGAAGATTTTGCCATTGCATGTGGTTTTATTGGCCAGCAAGCATGGGGGATTAGGATGTGTTGGTGGTGAAATAATTTGTAACATTTGTAACTTTTGTCATTGAAATTGACGTGATTATTACTGACGCTTACATTTTCTATTTATCATAATCCACCTGCATTTTTTTGAAAATCTATGGTTTGATGATACAGCAGTTTCCAAAAACTCAAAACTATTTCAAACTTAATGGAAGACAGGACACATCTGGAAAATTTCATTGTTTGACTTCGTGGTACAGACAAAACTACGGGCATAAACAAATTTAAATTTGAAAGTCCAAATTTCTTTTTGAATATAACCAAGAAACGCGTTCAACATATCTAGACTTGTGTGTGCATACTGCTGGTCATTTCTTAAAAATGAGCACGGAAGTTCAAGTTTTTATACACCAGTAATACGGGATTCTAGAAAAATCAATCATTAAGCCAAGTCCTTGTCGTAATGCTCACACAAATCAACATTCTATTACCACTACATATTTATCAAGGGTTGTTCACTTCACTTCTCTGATACGAGAATAAACGTATTTACATTTTATAAAAGAAAAAAACAAGTATCATATCAACTATCACGATGCTGGCTTGACCTCGCTGAAATTTAAATTGCAAATCTGGCTAGTTATGCGGCATTACCCGTTAAACTGTATTAATTGAGCAAGAAACTAGATAAACAGTCTAATAGTTATTTTATTTGCGCTGCTGTGACTATACAGAAACTAATTTCAAACTTCCTTGGCCGAGAGCCTTAATGAAATTAGACAATCCTTGAGCTTGGATAGTTAACAAGTTGAAACTGTACGTAGTCGTGATTATTGACTTGTTGAAAAGTTTAAGTTTTCAAGTGATTAGCTCATAATTCAGGATAACGGATAATTACAGAGGTCCGATTTACTCGTAATTATAATTAATATTTAGATTGTACGGATGACAGATATGGTGTAATGTCCAGTTTTCAAGGTTATCACTTCTAGAAGTGGGTGACTACACAAAGATTAGAAACTTTTCACAAACCAAGATGGATTTTATAATAACCAATGAATAGAATTTGAATATTAAGATTTTACATACTCCAAAAATAAGCGACCATTCGTGGATATGTTTTGACGTGGAAAATATGTTTAATGAGAGAGAATCAAGAGAAATCACAATTATTGATTTTGAAACGTTACGAGAGAAACTGTTACAGCCAATATCACTGAAATTTATAGTGATGATGACACTTAGTTCTTAAAAATTATGGATTGTATGGAGAACTGCATGAGAGAAGCACAAATTAGGAAAGTGGTATATCAAAGGAAACAGCCAACACTCTGGTTTTCACAAATATTTGTAGAAACTAAATTGACACGTGATAATGACCATAAAAAGTTTATAATCACTCAAACTGAGGAAGATTGTATACAATATAAGAAATCAAGAACCAAGTGTTTAGCAAATCTTAGGAATGAAAAGAAAAAATATGAAAACAAAATCGTCAGCAATAAAAGTAACAGTAAACTGATTTGAAAGACACTGAAGATGAGGATACAAAACCTATGTCACATGCAAGTTACTTATAATTTTTCTATGAGTCAATTCCAAACAATAAATATCAGCCACCTTTCAAAAGCTATTTCAAGATTGAAATCGAATATGAATTCTAGTGAACATCTTTCAAAAATGGCTCTAAAAGAATGTTTCAACATTATTGGAGAGAAGTTACTATTGCTAGTGGGTCACTGTTTAGTGTATGGCGAATTTCCTTCGAAATTAAAATGTTCTACAATTACTTCTGTTCCAAAAGTGCAAAATTCTGAGTTTTATACAAACATGCGACCAATTAATGTACTGCCAGATGTCGAGAAGCTCTTAGAGGGAATAGTATATGAACAATTCTTTGAATATATTGAATAAGACAAGATATTGACAAGCTTTCAAGCAGGATTCAGAAAAAACTATTCTACTGAAACAACAATTCAAATGGTAGTAGAAGAATCGAGGCAAAATATGGATGAAAAAAGTTTACAGTGTAACATTGTTCTTGGATTTCAAGAAGGCATTTGAGACTATTGACAGGGAGAAAATTTTATTGTATTGAACAATGAGTATCACGGTTATTCTAGTAGAGGGAGTATAGACTTTCATTTACAAAAGTGCAGTAGCAATATAACGAGCAAGTCAGTATTTCAAAAGGGATTGTACGAATTTAATAAATTAAGTAATATCAAGATGTGTGTCAGTTTGAAAATGTTCGAGGGGAAATTGAAAAAATATCTCATGGAAAACCAGAATTAATAGTAGTGAAATTCTGTATAAAAATGTGTAGTCTTGAAGACATAATATATTGTGATATCCTGTCTAACATAGATATTATGGATATTTTAGCATTAATGCTAAATGAATCTAAAACAATAACAAAACAAATATAGTTAACCGGAATGTGTTTTAATAATTTATTTGTGAACCACGTGCAAGTGTATTAACATATGCATATCGAGATCGTTGGAATAGGATATTTGCCTAATTACGTTAGTTTGTTCTGTTTTTGGACTATTCGCTGTGAAAGCGCTGATAGCGTCGCCTAGCTGCCACAATTATCCGGGACTGGAGACTTCGGTTTTATGGCAACTAGATGTCTTGATAACAATTTTCGGCTTGTTTTTCATTCAAATTATATAAAACCAAATCAAAGTCCTTAAAAATACTGTGATGCATATTAAACTAAGTAATTTGCATACTAGTACCGAAAAATGAATGTGATATTCAGCATAAAAGCACATGCACCACTGGACCAGATTAGGTTGAACAGTGATTCCCCTTCCATACTAGGGCGGCCATAAATACACAACTCACATGTAACCTTTTTCATTGTGTTTCAAACCTTAAAATACAGTTGTACAAACATGGAAATACAATTTATAAAATTATTTTTTAGAAAAAAAGCAAATCAATTTTATATTGAAGAAATAAAATGAAACAGTTCATAATGAGGGCAAACAAGATATATTGAAAAAACTACAGACAAGGACCATTTGGCATCACAAAACATATGCAACCAATAATGCGTGAAGTTTTAGTTGAGCGATTCCTCCTTAGATGGACGTTCACAACGATCCTAGTGACTGTTTGCGCATTAAAAACTACCTAGTTTGCAAGATGACATCTTATAGGTTTTTTTTGACGTTCTATAGGCTTTTTACATGATACCCATGCCGGTAATCAGACTCGAGAAGCTGTCACTTGCGATGGACGAAAGTAAATGACAGTCTGAACTAATTGCATTGTTATTCACATTGTTTAAAAGCCTACTCGATAACTCATTTAGACCGCTATAAACTCATGAGTTTTTGGGATTTTTGGCCTTTGGAGGAATCACTGTGCGTTGGTTGAATGCGCTCAGTGTGTTTTCTAATGTAGACCCTAGGGCAAATTCTGACATTTGGTGTATTCTTTCTTTGTATTGGTCAAATTGATCGAATCAATTCTCCGTTGTTCTTTCATATCAAAATCACTTTGCATAAAGAGTTTGGATTGAGAGAAAAGATGACATTCCGATCAGTAGCACCACTGTCACACTAGGCTATTCAAAAGTTTCTTGCCTAATCAGATGAGAAGTAAAAGAAGGTTGCCTACCTGTAGAAGAGCAGCAGCGAGTCGAGTACAATTTGGAAGGAGTCAACGGAGAACTCGAACTGCCGCCTCATGCTGTCGACGAACTTGAGTTCCACCCCTCTCCCCCTCGAGTTGCCCAACGAGATGAGCGACCATCGGTCGCCACCCACCGTGCACTGGTTCACCTTCACCATTTTGCTCACGTATGCTTCTTTGAGACTGCACGTAGAGATCCGCCGTCTGTTTACACCTTCAGGGAGCATTTCGTACAGGGAGCTCAGCACTGCTGATTTTACCTGCAATAAAAACAACAAGCTTTTATATCTTATTTGCCATGATTCGACACTTTTTATTTATATTGCCTAATGCAACGACCCTACCTCCAAGTAATGCAAGAAGAGCCCATTATAAATGGTATCCCGCAACCTCAAAATTAGGAATGGCGCATTTTTTCAAATATGTATAGTCAACATACATCTGAAACAGCGTCATTCGATAGGTGGGTAGATAGTAGATAGGAGTTATGGGATCTAGGCCTACTGGTTTTATTTGTTAGCTGAGGTCGAGGAGCCTTACGATCATCATATAAAGCCTTGCTAGGAAATCTGAAGTACGGCTCTGTGACAAGTTGTTAATACATACAAATGACCGTTGTACAAAATAAACAAGCTTACGCTTATTCCTTCTGTGTGTGTGTTATAAAAAAAATCCTAATTTCTACAAAAACAATACGCTACATAAAAAGGTATGATCTGTATAGGTATTTGAAAATCTCGTGAGCTGTGGTCGTTAAGTTACGAGTATTAAACAGAATCTTGTACTGCTATGACAAATATCAAGAATCTATTTCCTCTGACCTGTAATATGTTTTCAGGATTTTGAACTGATGGAAAGTAGAATTATATAGATGATGAACGTCCATAAAAGAGCACCTTTCGAAATGTATTCCCGTTTGTCAGCAACACGTCTGTTCCACAACAACAGAGAGACGTAAAAATTTGTACACTTATGTTACTACACTGCCACGCAAAATTAACCGGACAATCAAAATTTTGTTCAAATTAAATGTGTGTACCCGTGCGTTGTCTTGATGGAACAGCAATTTATTTTTGCGAAATGCGGTCGTTTTTGCTTCAAAGTAACGTTGAATCTGTCTAACAGCTGTGAATAGTCTCCCGTGATCGTTCTGTCCTTCTCAAGGTAATCGATGTAAATGATGCCGCATGCATCCCAGAAAACTGTGGTCATAACCTTGCTGGCTGACATACCCACCTTGGCCTTCTTTGTAGCACGCTCACCATGTAAAACTCACTGTCTTGATTGTTCTTTGGTTTCTGGTGTATTGTGAAGAATCCATGTTTCGTCTACAGTTACAAAACGGCGCAAAAATTCGTTCGGATTGCGGCTGAACAACGCCAAACATTCCCTTGAAATGGTCACACGGTTGCCGTTATGGTCGACTGTGAGCAATCGCGGCACCCATCTCGCGGATAGTTTGTTTCATGTCCAAGTATTCATGTAAAATGTGTTGTACCCGCTCAGTAGAGATGCCTTTAGCCTCAGCTACTTCACGTATTTTTATTATCCGATCTTCCAATATCATCCCATGGATCTTATCCACGATTTGTGGTGTGATGACCTCTTTTGGGTGACCTGAACGTTCGGCATCACTTGTGCTGATTCGACCACAACGGAACTCAGCAAATAACTTCTTCACCATTGAAATAGATCCATAGTATTTGTCAAGCCTTTCCTTGGTTGCAGTGATGGTTTTTGTACGCAAAAGATAATGTTTAATTAGAACACGAAATCCACTTTTCTTCATTTTTGTTAGAATTTATGAGACTGTCTACTTTCAACGGCTGTCAAACTCAAATGAAATGACATAGCTTGTTCAAATTTTGACAGTTGTCATATAAAAGGTGGCAGTTGTCAGCAGCAGTGTTGCATTCAAAGTTACTGCGCAGGAAATTCAAAAAGTCATTGACTTATCAAACGGCCCTTGTAGAAAAAATGTTGTAGAACAAAGTTGTACGGTGTGAACGGATTCATCGATTGGTGATTTTCAATATAACCTTCAAAGTCATTTTTTTAAACCAAAACCCCTATTTTTGACACCGGCCATGTAAAGAGCGGGAGACTTTACATTAAAGTATATATTTGCCCATGGCCTTGACCATGATCTTCATCAAAAATGTTGTGTAATGAAATTGTAGGGTTTGAAAAGGTACGTCTAATTGGTGAGCTGGACCGTGTCCTTGTTAAAATCAGTTGTAGGTCAAGTCCGTTTTCTTAAATGGAAGCCAAAAATAAAAAGATCAAGGAACTTTATGTTCAGGTTTAATTTCCGAAGTGCAAATTGGGGACAATTTTAAGTTCAAGTATATCCTTGGCCCTCAAGAAGAAGAACAAGAAGAAATCAATTTATTGTTGCAATAAAATGTTGGATAAAAAATGGTAATCGCCAAAGTAACTGTTGCATTACTTTCAATATTGCATTTATTCCTCTGAAACCAATCTCCTTCACATTCAGGATACTTCATGGTTTGATGGGCACCAACCTCATGCATCTATACCGTCTGTCGCGCAGCAATCTACGCGGACACAGCTTCAAACTGCATAAGGAGCCATTTAAAACAACAGTCCGACAGTGGTTTCTTCCCAACCGCATATTCAACACCTGGAATAGTTTACCTGAAAGTGTGGTTGGTGCTACTTCAGTTAATAGCTTCAAAGTGCAGTATGATAGCTGGAGGAGTGTACAAACTTTATAGCTATGAACTGTCTTTTTTTATTTTTTTCTATTTGATGTATTTGTGTTACGTGTCCGTACACTATATTTACTGCATGAGCTTATAGTACTGTGTACTCTGCTCATCTCAATTATCATAATAATAATAATAATAATAATTAATGCGAAGCTAATGGTGTAAGGTATACTTTACACGAAAGGGGAGCAGGGGTTGAGTCTAGTTAATGATGAAAATAAAACACTTAAAACTCACCTTGTCGAAATTCCGCGTGCAGGACAGTTCAACGCCAAATATGAGGTCTAGGTCATTGTAAGGCTGTGTTTCGGTGGCTAAGACGTGAGAGGCGGCGCCACCGTTCAACCTGATGTCCCTGACACGCATCCCCGCCCCCCCAGACCCAGTGTCCGCCTCCAGTTTCCCCCTCACGACATTCACGAGGTCCCGGAGGCGAATCTCCAAGGTGGGGAAGTTGCCCCGTCCGTGGATGCACACCACCTCGTCCATCACCTCGTTCAGACGGTTCACCTGCAACAATAGAGAAAGTCCATTAAGCATCAAGCTTCATTCATCAACATCTACGAGCCCCTTCACACTTCAGTTGGCCCAACTATTGAAATCTTAGTTTTTTTTCTTATCAAACACAAATAATAAAAATGTAGCAGGGTGTGATAGGTTTAAAATATTAACAATGAATATTTTGATAATATATAGTAGAAAACACCAACTTTATCACTCCCTAATCAAATTTGCAGCACAAAATTAACACATGTTGTAATTACAGCATATCAACCTATTTTCATTTCAATGCAAAATAAGTCTATAACGCATAGGTGGCTGTGAAAAATAAAAGCCATGACAATTGTTTTTATTAATCACAGCTGTCAGAATACGTTTAAAATAGTTTTGTGTAGTTAAGGTTTTCAAAATGTGTAGAGGAAAGGTTATTAGTGAGAAAATTCGGTTACTGATAATTAAATTTTTTAATTCTGGGAAATCAGACTCAGAAATTGCAACTTTGTTAGACTTATCGCGGACAGTGTGAGAAATATTGTTAGAAGATATAACGTAACTGGTTCAGTTAATATTAAGCCACGATATGTGAAAAAAAGTAATACAAATGCCGACCGAAGAGCATTAAGAAGAATAATCGTGAAAAACAGGCGTGGCAATTATTTACAATTAAGTGCTCTGTGGAGTGACGCTGTTGGAAGGAGAATTTCGAGGTCCACAACTCATAGGCCCACAAACTGAGATTTAGCACTAGCAAGGTAAGTTTTCTTATTCAAAAAGTGAAGTAAAAACCCTAAAGTTGCACAACTTGTTTATAGGCCAAAGAAAAGCCACTATTAACTCCATTGCAAAAGAAAAATCGGCTTAGATGGGCTAAAGAACATAGACAATGGACACCTCAACAATGGTTTGCAATACAATGGAGTGATGAGGCCCGATTCGAAGTTTGTGTTGGTGGTTGGTGACAGTGGCAGAGTCATTCGCAAAAAAATGAAGCATTCCATATTGACTGTCTGAAGAGAAAAGTGAAATTTCCAGCATCCATTATGGTCTGGAGCAGTATGCCATCAAAAGGAGTAGGAAAACTTCATTTTATTGATGGAAATGTGGATACAAACAAATATTTGGCAATTTCAGAAGAATCGCTTTTACCAGTTGGAAGAATGTTTGACATCCGGGCAAGATTTTGTGTTTCAGCAAGATGGTGCAGCGTACCATACCTCAAAAAAGGCTATAAAATGGATGGAAGAAAATAATGTACCACTTTTGAAATGGGTTTCTAGCAGTCCAGATCTGCCACCTATTGAAACCTTGTGGCACGAGATGAAAAAGGTTCTACGACAACTTGTTATAGGTCTAAGTGATTTCAAATATGTATTTTTTACGACTAGAGTGTATCTAAAATGTTTATGAGAAAATAAATTGTTTTAGAAGTAAATAGTTTCGTCATGTTTAGTTTATAAAGGCATATTTTGGTACAAATCTTGAAGTGGGACAACTGAAGTGGGAAGGGGCTCGTATATAACATGTATAGTCCACTACTTTACTATAGGCAAGTATCAAAATGGAATAGAAATACGGTGTGTCCGTGACCACGGTGATGATCCTCCGGTGAGGTCGGGTTGTAAAACAGCATAAGCTGACACTCCACCTTTTCGTCACTATTCATTTTAAGCCAATTATTTTGTAATCATGTGACCAATAAAGGCCATTCATTATTATTATTATTATTATTATCCTTCGATGTATACTGGTGACTATTGAATATATTGCGAAACAAAAAAGTTCGTTTTCGGTTGCCCCAATATGCAAATTGGCAAGCAAATGAGATAGAAGGCATAAGTCGTTTTAGATGGTCCGGTTGGTAAAAAGTTGGTTTGTTCACGCATTATTGATGGTGTTCTACTTGAGAACAGCTAGAGCCTTATGCTATAATTCCGCTTACAAAAAAATTATCCGAGATAAGATAGCATAGCGCCATCTATGAGAATTTGTCATAACTATCTCCTCGGATATATCCAAGTGTCAATCAAGGGAATAAGACTGTGCAGACATACGTCAAACGACTGTTTAGTACTTAGATGTCGTTAAGGGCTTTTATGCCACTATTAGTAATTATGAAAAATGCCACATACTCAAATACTCAAAAAAATCTCCACAAACGCGGGGTATGGTGTACTAGACGAACTGTAACATGTTTAAAATGTCCCAGTAAGAGGTAACTAGTTTCATATTTGCATCGCAAAGTTTTTGAGCTTAACTTCTGGCTAATTTATAGAACCATTTAAACAGATTGAGGCGGTGTCAGATGTAGCTTTTGGACTAGGCTATCATATACACACAGCGTAAAATGTGCATTTGAAAAAAGATTATCACGAGCACTTGAGAACAGCAGATATCAATAGATATCAACTGCCATATAGTTACTGATTAGAAGTAGCTGTAGCTACTGTTAGAATATTGTACGCGGGAATAGTTTAATGGCCAGGGATTCAATTCATAAGATCTGAATTACATTACTATCCAGTTACTCTGTACTATGAACTAATCTGCGAAATGGCATGCAATGACCTCAACGTTAACCGATTGAGATGCAGTCAGTGCCATAATGACCTTGACCTACAGCGACTCACTGTTGGGTTTCCGAGGTGGACGAACCGTTGTTACTGCAGGTGAAATCTAAGGGGTTACTCAATCTTAGTCGGGATTCGGCACACGAAACCGTAATCAATATCGTTCACGTTTTGCAACAGCCCAAGATCCCATGCACACTATTAGTTAGCACAGGATGCATACTCCACTGTTGCATGTCTAATTCTTCAAAATAAATTACTATAATAGAAGAAATTTGAAACGTTTACGCAAACTTGGTGGATTATCACAAAATTTTCTTTATGTATCTACGTAATGTATATGAAATTTTGCAATTTCCTAAATCATTACTTGTAAGCGACATATCATGAACTAAATAATGTTGCATTTTCAAAAACTAACGAATATCACTAGATAAACAGGATAAACGTTCAATCGAAGCGATAAATACAGGTTCATCGCCATAGTCAAAAATAAAATTTTATAATCTATTAATTGGATGATTTGCAAGATATTCTGAAAGGTGAAAAAATACTTTTTGGAAAAGTTTTCCGGATATTCTCGTTAACAGACCAATTAATAACATAACTGAGAAGCTCTCTATCCAACAAGCACTAGCCATTCACCCAAGCAATAGTTAATTTATTGCACAAGTGTCAAATATCAATACAGAGCTTCACTAGTTCTGTACAACTCTTGAAAGTATCCTAATATTTCTATATGTAGCACTTTACTGGGTTATCCTTTGCAACTTAGGTTATGTCATCTTATGCTTATTTTCAGCATGAGTCAACTTTTCCAATCTTGAAATAACCAAGCAATTCTGTCGACGTCTCTGTGCTGAAAGATTCGACTCTATTTTTGGTTCAAATGAATGCACAAAATTCATTCCCATTGTAATAATGGTTAAAAATACATACACTGCTAAAAATAACGAAAGGACATTGTGCCAGAACAAAGTAGATCAAATTGGATCATTTCGCTTGGCATCGAAAATAGTGATCCGACGGACAATTACAATCTTCTAGCTAGTGGTATAAGGCCTGCTGCTATTTTCCTCGATAGTTTAATACTTCAAAACTTGACAAAAGATAACAGCTGATTATTTAATGGCATTCTAGTGGCAAAGCTTTAGGAATGTTTTGTTAGATTAAAAAACTCTGCAGGAATAACACCAAGTACTGTATCGAAGTAGGAGAAACGCCAGTAATATCTTTTCTCAAACATACGTGGGTAAAGATAGGCTGAAAGTGATTAAGACATTCGGATTAATGATCTAATAAATAGTTTCAATAAAGACAGATTAATGGCGTTAACAGTGTACGTATAAATGAAATTAAAATAGCCTCAAGCCTCACTATGAAAAGTTAAATAATCTTAGAGCCGAGAACGGCAGTGATTGGTTCTTGAAGTAAAAAATAAACTTTCTGCAGTAATTAATCTATACCGAGCGCATAGTATTTCTGCCTTCTTCAAAATACAGTTTCTTTTAGCGTTAAACCTTGTTAGATGAAGACGTGTTTAATTGAACACTAAAGTATTTAGCGTGCAAAGGTATTTAGAATAGTTTTGTTCACCCCTGATGAAAAACTTCCATTTATCAACGAACATCATTTCTTTATTCGAACTCAAATGAGATTTGGACGACTCGGGAAAAATAACTTTATTTCAGAGATGCAAAGCGAACAAACATTTAAAAAGCGTTTTTAACAAAAAATACATGTAAAGCTTCCTCATCTGTAAGAACTGTTCATCGCCATCTACAATACTCTCCGCATGGGTTGCTGAAGTGTTTTAAGTAGACCAAGGGCTTGATTCTAAATGAGTATCGACGGTTGAAATTGATTTCGATGGAGCCTTGTGACGATATAGGTACTTGATTCGCTATGATAATTTTGACATCTGATTATATTGATCTTCTATACTAAAATTATCATGGCAGTGTTAAGATTATCATAGCTAATCAAGAATATCGCCACAAGGCGCCATCGAAATCAATTTCAACGGTCGAAACTCAATTAGAATCAAGCCCATGGACTATTTCTTGTTAGCAATCATGCCATTTTTTCACGATATAAATATAGTGGCAACTGATACTTTTCTACTAAAATATAGCATTCATGAATCAATAATTACATCATTCAGAATTTCATCTTGCCACGTTGACTTATTCAAAAGACAAGTTTGAGTGGTGAAGCTTTTTGAAAGGCACCATATATTTCAGTAACCTTGTATAAATTAATAACTGTTGATGGCACCAAAAATGTTTATATTTGAAAAGGTCCCTTCGACGATCTTCGTAGTAAAAATGATGTTCGTATTTGCGAGAAAAAAAAAACAAAAGGAGTTGTACTTGTTATTCAATCAGAAACAATAATGTTGCTTTCGAATATCTTGCTGCATATTTGCAACGAAACCGTTTTTCGAGAACAGTCGCAGCTAAAAATAGCTTAAAATTGTGCTAAGAATTATCTTTTGAATGCTTGTTTCATGTTTAAGGATATGAGATACACACCTGCTCGAAACTGAGCACTGCAAGCCGTTGTTGTGACTCGACTGCTTTGGATAGATCTGTTTGTGTAGATTGGTATGCACTCAGTGAGAGTGACTTCATGGCACCACCCAAGTCATCGTCAGTGTCCGAGTCTTCGATGCCGCACTGAAACAAAAGAAAAATATATATTAATTTCAATCCTTACATAATTTATAATCTAATGTAGAAATAGCTGAGGACACCAATAGGTAATTACACAGCAGGAATGCTTATAATTGAATCAGTGATTTCAAAAGTCTCGGAAGTCACATTTTGACTTCCTTAGGAATCTGTAAAAACGATGTCCTTCACAAATCTAATCTAATCGCTTCACCTAAATATATCGCATTCTAGAAATAAAGTTTCAAACAAAAGGTGTAGAAGTTGACGGTAACGGTAACCTTGATAAATCCCTTCACCATGACCTTTAAGATCATTTCAAGGACAAGCAAATATTTTCACGTGGACTCCCTTTCACACATCAGAACTGGAGGAAATGTTACGACCCATTACCATCTTGACCATGGCCGTCAAGGCAATTTCGAGGTCAACTCAAGACATCGAAAACAATTTGCACTAGCAAAAATGTTCGACAGCATAGTTGTGAGGTTTGAGGGAATCACCCAAGGGTGACTTTAACCATGATCCTCATGGTCAAGTCAAAATTTGCGAAGGCAACATTCTCAATTTTTTAATTTAATGGATAAAGCAGGAAATTTTACGTCTTAACGTGATCTTAAATAGCATTTAAGTTTGACACACAACCTTGAGGTCAAGATCACATTCGAACATGAAAGGTTTCATTTGAAAATTTGACATGACCTTTCCGATAAAACATGTAAAAGAACGTCTGTTGTCAAAGCGTTGTAGTGTAGTGTCTAGACAATTGCCGGAAACGGTGACAGCTTTAGTGGATAAAAAGCAGTGTTATATATATCCATTCCATTCGTATTTTTGAGCACTGAATCCAAATCTAAGGTTTGCTAACAAAACACCATTTAGCACTGAGGACTGCAAGACATTAGAGACATATACTCGACTCGAGTTTTATGGAATTTAAAAAAAAACATTGAAACATACCTTGTGGTGCATTTAGAAACCATTCAAGTACGAATGATCTATTTGCAGTTTTTCTAGTTTCTTTGACTTGATAAATGATACTGTTTCCAAAGAAAACAATAATACGATGTATTGGTTCGTCACTTTAGTAGGCACTGGTAAGCAAATCTACACACTAGGTTATATAGGGGACAAAAAAACATGGTAAACTTATAGACTTGACTTCTCGTGAGATATTCGAATTCATTAGTAGTATCCAATTGTTGACGTCACAATACAATCCATCTATTTGAAGGTAACTTTCTATTACAACTGCTCCTTGGCATGCGCTGCGCAAAATCTGTCAGCTTCTGACAGTGTGCAACATGTTACGATGCATGTGCCCTGCCAGGTGCGATTCCATTTCAAGTAGCTGCTTGTTGCGCAACATATACCCGACATACGTGTCTGTTACCAGGTATCGTAAAGTATCAAGTAGAACCAGTTTCTTGCGAGCAAATTTTGCATGCTTAATTTGTTTACTTTTCAATTAATTTTATTGTAAAGCAGACCTCTGCAAAACAGTTTTTTGAATTCGATATGTTGCAACGGACTGGTAATATAAAGTTTATTGGAAAATCCGATAATAGAGGTATAATAATTCATCAAATAGTTCTATCGACACGAATCGAACCGAAAAACATCAATAATACACTCGTTATATCGGGATTTATAGATACAACATATCAGCTGGATCACCTCTATATTTCACGCGCGACGAAAACAATTAAGGAAAAACGTCGCTCTAATAAAGTGGTGTTTTGTGTAATGAACTCAGGAGTAAACAAAATTTTAAAACAAAGAACAAATATGTATTTTTAAATATGTAGCGATTAGGAGCACGTACTGTACAATAGGGTTGACTCATATCTTATTCATAGAATAAATGAGTGTATCTTATAGTATTTGGCTAAGGGATATGGAATACTTTGACCTCAATTTTTAAAAGCGCAAGATGAATATATAAGTCTGATTTAAAGAAACATGGCGGACAGCGTCTTCGCCTAAGAAAGATATATGTTCACGTTAAAGTTTTACGGTCCTTTAGGTCTGGAAAAAATATAGTATTAATTAGACGACATCTACTATACAGCCAGAATCGTCAGCCATCTAGCGGTCACATGGTTACTGGGCGAACTCAGATCTTTACTGTTCCAATAACAATAGCAATTATGCGCTCTTCGCAGAGCTCGATTCTGCTGATTCGAGGGATGTCTTTTAAGTTGTGCATATAGAAACATAGTCGGCCGCGCGGATCGAACGTCAGTACTGAGTCTTAACCTCACTGTTTAGTAAACTTAAATTCAAAGTTTCACAACAATACGTGCAGTGTTCTCACTACAGTGAATTTTTAAGTGTCACCAAGTCATCAGAAAAATGGAACTCAACCGAGAACATTTTCGCGCCATAATTTATTACAACTTTCAGAGACAATTATCGCAACAAGAATGCCTTGCTGAGTTACTGTCTGTTTTCGGCAACGAAGCGCCACATCAGTCGACAATTTCCCGTTGGTATGGAAAATTCAAACGTGGACGGGTGAGTCTTAGCGACGAGCCCAGGGTGGGTGCACCAAAAACGGCAGTCACCCAGGAAACTCATCATTGAAGATGACATGTGACATATAGCGAGATTGAGGCGTCCTTGAAGATCTCAAAGACCTTAATTTAAAAAATGTTACATGAAGAATTAGGAGTAAGAAAATTAGTTTCTCGTTGGATGCCCCACCTGTTGACTGAAGAGCAGAAAGCAGCCAGGGTTAATTGGTGTCAAAAAACGCTTGACCGTTTCAATTCCGGAAACTCAAAAAATGTGTACAGCATTGTTAGTGGTGATGAATCGTGGATTTACTGTTATGAACCAGAAAATAAACGACAGTCGGCTGTTTGAGTGTTCCAAGGTGAAGAAAAGCCAATAAAAGTCATCCGTTCTCGAAGTGTTTCGAGAAAGATGGTCGCGACATTTGTGTCAAAAGCTTCGAAAAATCAACGCCGAAAGAAGAATCATCCTCCACCAAGACAATGCAAGCTCGCACACAGCCCAAAAAACAAGGCAGTATTTAACGGAAGAAAACGTGTAATTATTGGACCATCCTCCATATAGTCCCGGTCTAAGTCCTAACGATTTCTTTACTTTCCCGAAAATTAAAAACAGACTGCGTGGTCAAAGGTTCCAGTCACCAGAAGAAGCAGTTGACGCATTCAGAAATGCCGTTTTAGATCTGCCAGCAAACGAGTGGATTAAGTGCTTCAAAAATTGGTTCGAGCGCATGCAGATGTGTATTAATCTTTGTGGAGAATACTTAGAAAAACAATAGTCATTTAAAAATACATACCGTGTTGTTTTATTTCCATATGCAAGACTTAAAAGACATCCCTCGTAGATGGCGCTTTGCGCTGTCTTATTTTTTAACCTATTAAATATCTCGTTGATACAGCCTCTTTTAGTTTCATGTTCTATGCCTATTAACAAATTCTAATCAAACTGTGAAAAATCAAGCTGCTGGCTAATTGCATTCTGACTTTGAATTTCGACTGTTAACGGGATTAGCTTCGATCTGCAGGGCCAGCATTCCCATCTCGTCAGAAACCAACTTCCATATTTTCATCACGCTGTAATTCTTGTGATTTCGTATACGAAAAGCCGCTATAATGTATTCTTCCTTTATTGGTTATTATCGTCGCACAGTTTAGCTTATCAAGTAAATTCCTGATAGGATCTGTAGTTGCACACTCCCATCGTAGAACACATTCTAAAGAATCACCCTTGTTATCTCTTGTCCTACCATAAATGTAATCCCACCAAAATAACTACCATGTCCAATAAAGGTGAATAATTTTCTGGCACAACTATATACTTGTACTTTGTTACAATCTAATTGACTCAATCTGTTTCTGCTAGTGCACGGTAAGCAAAACATCAATAAGCTGAAAGACCGGCATTGGGAATTTTGATCAAGACCCGTTCACAGGGCACCGGGGAATACTAGGAGTTGCGAGTGGAATATTGACTTTGTCTAATAATTCATCGGAGCCCAGACCAGCGAGCTCCCACGCATTTTCATTTTATGTCTGGTGGATGGACGTATTGTCCCAGTTCAACGTTTTATGGCTGCTACTGTGTTGTATAACGTTTCACGTTTTCGTCAATTTCCACGAGCGACGACAGCATGTCTTTTCAGAGGTCGTTGTATTTGAATTGCCTATTAGTAAGCAACTTATGCCTTTATTTGCTAGTTGGTTGATCAGTATTTATTGTTATTTTGACCCACGCCCCAGCCAAGGAAGCGAAAGAGTCTACAATGTAAGCGCATGATGGCAGCGGCAGCTAATTCGACTAAAAAATTGGCATAAAGTTGACTCTGCACTTCCTACGCAACGCTGCAATCAATTCATAAAAGGCTACGATCGGCGAAAGTTAGACACTCCGAGGAAAAGTACGCTATGAATATGTATAACAGAAAAATAAATGGACCAAGGCAATCAGACAGGCCATTTGATGCTGCGATCTAGACAGTACCGACTATATGGCTATGACTGACCTCGTCATTCGTCCGTCACGGCAGCCACTCAATGGTCAGACTGCGATGGATGTATAACCACATACGTGTATGTTGAAAAGATTTATTCATCATCAAAAGTTTTAATGGCAAATGTGTGTGGAATATGTCTAATAGGAACGCAGGATTATCGAGGTTGGAAGAATATAAACATAATAACGCCAAAAAATTAAGATATATCCCCACCCCATGCAACTCCCAATCCCCATTTTAACCCCAACAAAATTCTCTGAAACTTCAAACAACGAAGTTTGAGCGATTTTTCGTTTTTTGCCCTTAGCACCGCCAAGGAACTGATTCAAAAACTATAAGGCTTTTTCGTCCTTATGTGAAAATTTCATCAAAATCCCAGAGGTAGTTTCCACGGTACAAACGGGTCAAGAATTAGCGGACAGACGGACCGATAGATCGTCGGAAATAAGTCAGCTGGTTTTTCGTGACGTACATATTATATATAACATCCAAACAATAT